ACGGTACAGCAGTGTACACATATTGGGAGCTGGGTAAAGGAAAGGCAGTTCTTATTTGGACTGAATTTATGCATCTTGGTCTCAGTAACTGCTAAACATGGGCCTCTGTAGGGAAGGGCGGGGAAAAGCAAATCCAAGCTCTGCCCCTTAGGTCCATAAATGTAATGTCATGATGCATGTTTATAAGGGGTGGAGCTGTTGTCACAACAGTATGAGATTGTTTTCATCATTTTGATAAAACTGTTGGGTTCTGTGGCTTCCTTCACTGTTAAGGCTGTAGAACATCGACAAGATCAGGAAATGCATGATGAGCAAGAAAATAAGCAAAAAAACCCTAAACTAAAACATTTGTAGAATTTTTGACTAAGGATGCCTGCACACAAAGTGTTTGTGTTGCTTCTGAATCACTTCTGGGCCTTTGTGAACAGTGTTGTCTGTGTTCAACCATGGAGCCAATTTTTTTGGGGGGGGCTATCAGTTCTGATTTAGTACATACATGAAATATTAGAAATCTATACATCTTACTTTTGTTTAAATAAGTAATTACAAATATGCTCAGTAAGTAAGAGGGAGCTTCAAGCAGCTACACCATAATCTTGAGATAATCTGACAGTAGCAGGTACAGTCATGTGAAGAAGTAAATATACCCCATGTCATGTTTTTCCTTTTTAATATATGTGGACATATCAATATTACATCTTGGAGGTAGTGATAAATCTAGGGGTGTAGTTACTTTTTCCACATGGAAAATTTTGTATTTATGTTTATTTAAATTACATAATGGACTACAACATGTGAATGGTGCATGATATTTGTTATATCTCCTTTATCAGTATTGTTGAAATGAAGATCAAATATCTATGTTGAAATATGTTGAAAAAGTCAAACATTTCAATGGGGTGTACTTACTTTTTCACACGACTGTATGTGGGACAAACGTGATGTTAGGACAGCATGTCAAGAATGGTAGAGAAGCTATTCCGCCTAACAAATGGAACACTTAGCTGAAGTAAGCAAATGCAAATAAACAACTTTTGTTACTTCAGATGCCTCTTTTAAGTGAGTAAAGTGGAATTTGCGGCCACAGTTCAGAAGTTTAAACACGTACATCAAGCTCCACTCCTACCATAGCTTTCTTCTTTCTTTTAATGCATGTACAGAAATTAGTTTTCTGAAAGAGGGATTATTACATTGTTTATTTACAATCCTGTCTTCAAAGCAATCAGTGTCTTTGTTATTTGGCTGCTTTATCTCTTTGTCAGCCACTGATGGAGTTAATAAGGTTGTGTTACTTATTTATTTCTACTTTTACAAGAGTAGCAGAATGAGTAATTGAATTGGAGAAGGGATAGATATATTAAAATGATAACCTATGATTAACATTCTTCTGTGATTTCACTTTCACTGCCAGTATAATAAAAGAAGAATTCCCACTTCAGGGTGTAGAACAATTTAGTGCTAATTCAGTGTTGACCTTATTTGTCCAATCAACTTTTTTGCAATCCATTCTGGCAGCTTCAGTATTTCCTGGGTTAAGTGGCTGAAAAGAAACATGTAAACTAGGCAATTACAGATACAGTCCCCATTAATTTCTATTATTATTCTGTGATTGCTCTTTTTCAGCTTTTGCTTGATTGAATTTATATTCTCCTGGCAGTCTTATTACATAGATTGTGAATTCAGAATCCAACAGATTTGAAGAGGACTTGGTGAAAAAATAATAAATTGCATTAAGGATATAGATATATACTGTACTGCCAAAATTACAGGAGTAGGTTGTGATGCATGTCTGAAAGTGCCAAATTTTATTGCCCATAAGAAAAACAATCAGTTTTTATTTTTAAAAAGAGTGTAAGCCCTAGAAGTAAAATCGTAAAGTGAAGCAGTGATTTGTGCTAAAACTTGGAAGACAATGGAATGAAAGAAGTTGAACTTTGTAAATTTACAGCTGGCAAATCTGGAAGTGCTATATTAAGGCTGGTAATTTGAGGCTAAAAATACCATCAAGAGACCACGGTTTATTCATGCAAGGTGTTTTGATACCTGCTATGCTACCGCAAATAATGTGCATGTTTTAATCACGATAAACAAAGATATAGTTTATATGTATTTCATTCTGTTGCATTTGTCTTTTTAGTCTGAACCTTGATATTTAGGAAATGAACATCTGACATAGTCTTGGTTTCTCATATCTATATCTCTTTGGTGGTGAAAGCAGGAGCGGTTCACTGCAATTGGCAGGTGTTTCATGTTTGCGTTTTTATCTCTGTTTGTTTTAGGGGGATTCCTACAGTACCTGGAACAGTGACCTTGAAGAAAGACTCTCAGAATCTGATTGGGATCAGTATAGGTGGAGGAGCCCAATATTGTCCCTGCCTGTATATTGTCCAGGTTAGTGTTACGGAAGAGAAACATATTTTCAGGAAGAAAATAATAATAAAAATTGCATGATGGTATGGTTTAACCTTACAGGTTTGCACTGTGCTCAGTCAAACACACTGGAACTCAGACAGTAACACTGTTGCAAAAAACCCCCACAGCAATATTAAGTTCTGCCTGAAGTGTGTATTCCATGAATGGTTGCAATCCAGCAGAAGCTATCAATCGCTGCCACCTCGTTTATTGTGCCAGAGGGTCCTCCAATCTCCCAAAATAGTTGTTTAGTGGCTTTGGGGTAGAGGGAATTGGTGCAAGTCAGTGGCAACATCCCGAGAGCAGAGTTTTGATTATGAGAACATTTTCTGAAGATCCAGCCTTTGTAGTCTATAGCAATAGCAACAACAATAGTAACAGTAACAAAGAAAAGTGGACTACAGTACATGAAGGCTTATGGCATAATAAATAGTTTATTTTTTAATGGGCTGTCAATCTATGTATCGCATGTGACTAAGCAACTGAACTGCATGTATTTTCTGATCTGGTCTAGTTCATTTCACTTTTTCTTAAAAAGCTAAGTTCATGGCCTGGAAAAGAAGGATACTTTTAATTTACTGAATCTTATATATGTCATCTCAAAATTTAAAAGAAATCCTGCCATGGATGTTAAACATGGGGGGTAGGGGGAGAATTCAGACATAGTTATGATTGTATTCTGATTTCGAAAGGTTACACTATGAACAAGTGGCAGTAAAATTTCTTTCCATGCCTAATGAAGTGTGATATGGGAAGCATCCCAAATAGTTAGTGAACTGTGGAAAGTGAAAAACATTTAACTCAGTGTTGTCCAAACTTGGCCACTTTAAGATGAGTGGACTTCAACTCCTAGAATTCCGCAGCCAGCATGGTCAAGTTTGGACAACAGTGGTCAAGTTTGGACAACAGTGATTTAACTGGTTTGAAATCTCTGGACTTAAAAACACTTCAGGTCAGCTAGCAGCTTTTATTATAGAGGAATGGATATCAAGTAAATCTCCTCTAGAATGGCATTTTTCAACCAAGAAAATATTAGCTTTTCCATAGCTTCTGCATACATGGTACATATATGCAGCAAGGTTATCATGAAGTTGCTATCAATGATATTTCTGAGAATTAAGGCTTCTTATAAATAACAAATGTGGCAAGAAAATTAGCAATTGTGCGTGGATACTCTGGTACTTTCTCTGGCTTTTTTTCCTTCCTTTCATCATCATCATGTATTCCTCCTCAGGTATTTGATAATACTCCTGCAGCTCTTGATGGAACGTTGGCAGCTGGTGATGAAATCACAGGTGTGAATGGGAAGTCAGTCAAAGGAAAAACCAAAGTAGAAGTAGCCAAAATGATACAGGTGGTGAAGGTGAGAGGCTTCAAGGATTGCTGGAATGTAAAGTGTCGATTTCTGCTTTTTGCAAATAGTAGTCCCTTTCTCTTGATTACAAACTAATAATATTTGATTTTGGTCTCCTAGGGAGAGGTGACAATTCATTACAACAAACTCCAGGCAGATCCAAAGCAGGGGAAAACCTTAGACATTGGTATGAAAGACTTTGACTCTCTTTAAGATTTTTTTTTATTAGCCTGATTTTGTGAAATGCAGGCATTGCGCTGTGTGTTGGAAAATGCTGTTTATGGATTGTATATCTCTTTCTTGGAATGCAGTGCTAAAGAAAGTGAAGCACCGCCTGGTAGAGAACATGAGCTCAGGGACAGCAGATGCCCTAGGGCTGAGCCGAGCTATCCTCTGCAATGGTAAGTAATACACAAGAAGCAGTTTGGCCATTGTGCTAGCTGAGCTAAGGATCATCAAGGATTAAGCATTCTCACATAAGTACAAAGTGTACATTCTCCTGAACCTGAATCTTGTCCAGTTGGAGATGTCTATACTTGGCTCATAACTGTGGAGTTGAGAGCCACTGTAGTATAATTGTTAAATACCAAAGCCTCGCCTCTTTAGGGTGTTCCTCAGGCAGACTAGTATATCTCAGTCCTAGCCCCCCAGTTGTAAGACAGGGGCAGTAGCCATTCCTTATACTGCAGCTCAGAAATATAAGCTGGTTTGCCAGGCTTATCTGTGGGTCTCATGATGAACTCTGTTACCTCTCTCAGACTTTCCACCCTCTCCATATATCTGTGTCAAGTGAATAAAACCATGGCTCTGCCAGGAGAAATGACATCCCTGGGCAACATAGGGCTTAAGCTTTTTACCAGTCCCATTATGTCATCCAACCCATAGAAAGGGATCTGGGAAAGAATCTGGATATTGAGATAGTCAAGAAATACCTTTTTACTTTGAGATTAAATCTATGGGACCAGGTAAATTGCATTCTAGGGCACTGTAGAAATAGTTGATTGTCTCACTGAAACTTGATGCATTCTCTTTGAGAAATCCTGGAGAAGAGATGAAGACCCAATTCACTAAAAGAAAGCAAATCTCCCTGTCCTTAAAAAGGAGAGGGTGAGGAAACCCAGAGAACTACAAACTTGCATTGATACCTGGAATATTCTAGAGGAGATCATAAAGATGATGGTTCAAAAACACTTTGAAAGCAATGTAATTTGCAGAAATCAGAATGGATTTGTCAAGAATTAGGTTTTCTTGGAATAACCATATCTCAGTTTATGTCAGAAGACATCCTTAATAAATCATGCAATATTGTAAATGTAATATATTTTGATACAATATTTTTGATACAATTCCATAAAGTATCCTATAACATTCTGTTTAATAGGCTAGTTAAGTTTAGGCTGGCTGTCACAACAATTAAGTGCATACACAGCTGGCTTGGAAATCATACTCAGAGTGCTCATCAGTGGTTCCTCATCACACTGAAAAGAGGTTTTCAAGTGGAGGATATCCTCTATTCTTCAGTATGGTTTTAAAGAACCTGGATGAAGAGGTGGAGAGAATACTTATCAGATTTATGGAAAATTGGATGTGATAATATCTGAGCAAACAAAATTCAAAACGAAGTTGGTTGTCTAGAGAAATGTACTGAAAAATAACACAATGAAATTTAAAGGAGATAAATGCAAAATTCTTCACTTAGGAATCAGATATCAAATGCACAGGAATATCTGGCTTGGTAAAAGATCTTGGCATAATAATTGATTGCAAATTTAATATGAGTCAGCAATATGATGGTGCTGCAAAAAAGGTAAAAACATTTTTAGGCTGTATCAATGAAGTATTAGATTCCAAATCATGGGAAATAAGTGTTCCACTTTATTATGCTACAGTCAAATCCCACCTCAAGTACTATGTCTGGCTCCAGACACTAATCTTTTCAGAGAAACTGAAACAGATTCACAACATGAAGGTAATCAGGGCATTAGAAACTGAGGCCAATGAAAAGATATTGAAAAAGCTAGGCTTGTTTAACCTTGAGAAGACTGAGGGAGATACAATGGCAACTACCTAAAAAGAAGAAGGTCAAGATCTGTCCTCTATCATTCCAGAGTGCAGGACATGAAATAACAGATATAACACTTTATGTTCCTGAAATAATTCACCGTGGTAATCAACCCCTGCTCTTTATCTTTGTTGTTATAGATGGGTTAGTAAAGCGATTAGAAGAGCTGGAGAGGACTGCAGAACTATATAAAGGTAATCATACTTTTTTCTCTTTGTAATCTGGAAAGATGTTGTCCTTCTCACAGCTCATATCAAGGATGATTTCTTGGGAGATCAATTGATTTGTACAAGTGCATTGTGTATACATGTGCAGGCTTTCAGCCCTTAATGGCATACATGCAGTGGCAAGTTAGATCCACTTGCATCTGGAATGTTTGATGGGCAGATGTGGACTGTCTCTCTTTCCTCTCACATCTACAAGGCCTTCTTCCACCCACTGGCTTTTTAATATAAACATCCTCTAATGCAGGCTTTCTCAACCTTAGCAACTTTAAGATGTGTGGACTTCAACTCCCAGAATTCCCCACACAGGAAAACTGGGGAGGGATTTTTGGGGGTTGAAGTCCTATGTTTTTAAATATTTTATGGTGGGGGAAACC